TGCCTGAGTATTACCCAGTTTGGGTCTTTATGCATGAATGACTTCATGGATGTGACTGGTCTTTCCACCTCTCTATTCAACTGAAGATGGAGTGGAGACTGTCTCACTTGGCCAATGTTGCATCCAAAGTAAACTTCCTGAAATCCTCATTCACAAGTGGAGGCCGTTGCCCATTACTAATCATTCTGGGAAACTGTATTTCACAAAAGTCCTTTTGATGCTCTGATCACTGAATCTGCTATGGTTGAATGAAGTCACGCCACAACAATCCATCTCGATAATTATCATCATCGTAGAATCCCTGCAGTGTGGAAACCGGTTCTTTGGCCCAACAAGTCCACACCAACCCTCAGAGCATCCCACCCAGACCCATTCCCCCTATAACGCACCTAATCTACCCATCCCTGAACACTACAGGCAATTTGGCATGGCCAATCCACCTGGCCTGCACATCATTGGACTGTGGGAGGAAACCAGAGCACCCGGAGGAAACCCACACAGACACAGGGAGAATGTGCAAACTCCACACAGACAGTCACCTGAGGGTGGAATCAAACATGGGTCACTGGCGCTGTGAGGCAGCAGTGCTAACCACTGAACCAGTGTCATCTACGACTAAATATCATCTAGGATGAAATACATCTTCCATTTAAAGTCAAACAAATCCATTGCAAGCCTTTTCCATGACCTTTCCAAAAATCTTGATCAAACCATCGGCTTTGCAGGCATGGGATGCTTTTGCTCACATCGACAAATACAACTTATGGCTCTTAGCCTGCTTTCTTAGTGCTGATTGAGTTATGTGCTTACTTGGAGGCATCTAGCCATTGTGGGTGAAATTACTTTCATAGGTCACAAGGTCTTGAGAGCTGAATCACAGGCTGCTAGCCCCTTGTCTTTTTTTAGTGTAGAAGGAGAGGCAGGAAGCTTGTGATGGTGAGGATAACTGAACAGTAAATTAGACAGGGGTGGGGGCACTACGCTACCTCACTATCAGATCTGTACCAGCAGCCGATGTGGCAAATGCACTGCATGCATTCCAAACAAATGTTGATGAGTGAAAATCAAAAAGTGTTTAGAGGGGTGAAGGGGGACTACAATCAGCCAGGGGGTCCCTGCACAGTCAGCCAAGGGGCTCATCCTAGTCTAACTGTGTTGGCTACAGTCAGTCCTACAGGTCAAGTGCAGGCAGACTGGGCAATCCAGGTAAATTGATATCAGTCTTTCTATTACCCACCACCAGTTAATCACCTGTGTTTTCCAATTGATTAATTCACATGCTAGTTCTCTTTTTTAAAAAAATTTCTAATCAACCTGTTCAGAGAATTTGTCACAGACCTCTGGAGCAGGTAGGACTTGAACCCAAGCTTCCTAGCTCAGAGCTAGGGACATACCACTGCACCACTCTTCCTAAGGGAATGTATTGTCACTGGAGAAGATGCTAGCAGCTATACAGTAAGTTGCATTCTCCTAAGACCCATTCTATATGGCAGATCATGGGCAGAGCAAGTACTGTACCGGACACCTTGGTGGAACAGGTAGAAAGGAGAAGGAATGTTTCCTACCTGCAGGGGATCTGGTGATTTTCCTCAGACGGCAGTGCTAGTAGGTTGCATAGATGTTTAATGCCAGGACCCGGGGCTCTGAATGCAGTGCTATAGGAAGTTCAAGCTCTCATACTAATGATTAAGGTCAGCATATGCATCTTCAAATACCATATTCTGCTGGCTTCCAGTATAGTAGCCTCAAGCACTGCTTAATTAACCACACCTCCATTACTCACCGACCAACAATCTCTGTCAATCAGCACTTGTACTTGGCATGCATATGCTCCACCTCATTTCACATATTTAGCTTGGGTCTCTTGTGATGCAGATGTAATGTCCCTACCTTTGGATCAGGAGGCCCAGGTTCAAATCCCACCTGCTCCAGAGGTATGTCATAACATCTCTGAGCAGATTAATTAGATAATAGCTGATGCTCATTAACACATTTTACACCCTTTCGCAGGATAAGGTGGTGAACAACTGGAGAGAGCAGGAACTAAATGAGATGGTATTGGCAGTGTTATAATATTCCAGTCTCCTCCTCTCCAAAGATGGCCACTGACACTCCCTGATATTGCAGGCCATTAAACAGCAGATAAGTGAACCCCTGTAAAATGGACATTATATTGGAGACACTGGATACTGCAAAGACTATAGGCCCTGACAACATTCAGCAATAGTACTGAAGACTTGTGCTCCAGAAATTGCCACTCTCCTAGCCAAGCTGTTCCAATACAATTACAACATTGGCATCTACCAGGCAATGTGGAAAATTGACCAGGTAGGTCCTGTACACAAAAAGCAGGACAAATCCAACCTGGCCAATTATCACCCCATCAGTCTACTCTCAATCATTAGGAAAGTGAAGGATGGTATTATCAACAGTGCTATAAAGCAACACCTGCTCAGCAATAACCTGCTCAGTGACGCATAGTTCAGGTTCCACCAGGGACACTCAGCTCCTGATCTGATTACACCTTGGTTCAAACATTCATAAATTCCAGATGTAAGCTGAGAGTGACAGCCCTAGACATCAAGGCCGCATTCAAATGAGTGCGGCATCAAGGAGCCCTAGCAAAATTGAAATCAATGGGTATGGGGGGCAAAACCTCCGCTGGTTGGAATCATACCTGGTAGGTAGAAAGATGGTTGTGGTTGTTAGAGTTCAGTCATCTCAGCTCTAGAACATTTCTACAGCAGTTCCTCAGGGTAGTGACGTAGGCCCAATCATCTTCAGCTGCTTCATCAATGACCTTCTCTCCATCATAAGGTCAGAAGTGGAGATGTTTAATGATGATTGCATAATGTTCGACACCGTTGCTACTCCTGAGATACAGAAGCAGTCCATGCTTAAATGCAACAAAATCTGGACAATAAAGGGGCTTGGGCTGACATGGCAAGTAATATTTATGCCACACAAATGCCACGCAATGACCATCTCCAATAAGAGGTAATCTAACCACCACCGCTTGAGATTCAATAGTGTTACCATCACTCAATTCCCCACTGTCAACATCATGGGGATTATCAATAACCGGAAACTCAACTGGACTCGCCACATTAACACAGTAGCTACAACAGCAGGTCAGAGGGTAGGAATACTACAGTGAGTAACTCATCTCTTAGCTCACCAAAGCCTGTCCACCATCTACAAAGCACAAGTTAGGACTGTGAAGGAATACTCCCTATTTGCCTGGATGGGTGCAGCTCCAACAATGCTCCAGAAGCCTGACACCATCCAGATCAAAGCAGCTCACTTGAGTGGCACCCTCCTCCATCAACGCTCAGTAACAACATTGTGTACTATTAATGAGATGCACTGCAGAAATTCACCAAATATCCTTAGACAGCACCTTCCAAAATCACAACCCACTTCCATCTAGAAAGACAAGGACAGCAGATACATAGGAACACCGCCACCTGCACCTGAATTCCCCTCCAAGCTACTCACCATCCTGACTTTGATGTATATTGCTGTTCTTTCCCTGTCACTGGATAAAAATCCTGGAATTCCCTTGCTGAGGGCATTATGGGTCTGCCTACAGACTGTGGGCTGCAGCAGTTCAAGATAGCAGCTCAGCCACCACCTTCTCAAAGACAGATAGGGACAGGCAATAAATGCTGGCCAGCCAGTGACGCCCATATCCCACGAATGAATTTTAAAAATGTACATAACTGACGCTCCTAGTAAATAGCACAAATAACATTAAGACATGCAAATGCACCACTTCTCATTTGCTTGTCACAATGTGGGCATGCATCTTGATCACATGTTCCATGATTAGAAATCTTTCATGGCAATAATTTGCAACTATGCAAGCCAATCATAGCAGTCACTGATTCCTAAAGAAATAAACATGCATTCTCATATGCAGCTTCCAGTTAATGTCATATGGCAACTCTATAGCCACTCTGTGAATTTCCTCATCATTTATAGGAGTGAATGTGTTTTGGCATTAGGCTATTTTAAAAAAAAATTGATAGGAACAAAATTAGCAAAAAGAAAAGGCCTTTTTACAGGAAGTGCCACTATCTCAGGATGTTCTAAAGTACTTTGTAATCAATAAATGTGTGGCACTGTTATAATGTAGGAGATTTGGAAACCAATTTGCACACAACAAACTCCCACAAATAGGAATAAAGACCAGATAATCTATTTTTGAAATGTTAGTTGAGAGTTAAACATTGTTGAGGATACTCCTGCTGCTCTTGTTTGAAATAATGGCATAGTGAAATAACTGCACAGAGGCTGGAATCCCATCACCAAGTCACCCTTTATTGACATGTGCAGAGCACACTGGCTATGGCCAGCCAGCTTCAAGTCAGGAGACTCTCTGAATTGCCTGTTTATATCTGTCAGCCAGGGCTGCCTGATAGGCCTGGATTAACAACCCCAATAGAAGATCGACCTGTTTCTAATCACTACAACAGGATTGTTTATTTCCCTCTGAGGAGCTGATGTAGCCTCAATTTAAGGCTTCACCTGAAAGATAGCACCTCCAACAGGTCAACACTTCATCAGGATAGCACTGCCATGTCAGCCTAGGTTGTATTGTTCCAGTTTCTGAATTAGGCCTATGAACCCACAATGTTCTGACTTGGAGGCAAAAGGGTTACTCATTGAGCCTTGGCTAATATGACCAAAATATCTGCTTTTGTGAGGTATGTGAGGGTGAGATGAAGGGAAGTAATAGCACTAATGTCTGTTGGAAGCGACAGGTGGGAAGGGTGCAACCTATGGTTATCCTAGTGACACTAGGGAAGAAATAACTCAATTAGCTTAATTCCTAACATAAACAACCTGATTTTAACTGGGATTGTGGATAGAAGATAAACCAGTTGCATTCTATCAGAACCCTCTGAAGACATATCTGTACTGGTAGCTACATTAATACTAACAGATGCAGTTACTGATATTTGCTGTTGTGCTTAATTGGGATACACTGGCTATTATTCTCCATGGTATATCGCCTCCAATACAGTTCTGTGACTGGCATGCTGCTAAGCGAACATTTGTGGGACAATTACACATCCTGTGTGCAAACTATTTAGTCATTCCATCAGACTATTGTTTGCCAAATGAGGTATGTTCACAGTTGTTTGCAGATTTGAGTGCTTGGATATTGATTATGGCATTCATTTGATCTATCTGAAAGGTTTCTGACAGTCTTTTGCCTTTGAGCTTAAGGTTTTTCCAGTTCAAAACACTTGGTAGGGCAACGGTGCTGAGAATAGTAACAGAAAGTTGGAAGAATCATTCAGAAATCCTGAAGAACTTAAATTTAGATAGTTTTAAAGTATCAAGAAATAGCTAAAGAAACACTTTCCTTAATATCTCTGCAAACTTGAACAAAATTTTACTTAACTACTATCACCTAGTTCTAACATGCAGCATTGGTGCTCTATGTGCCAGAACTGTGGGAAATGGTGCATGCAGTCTTCGTTATCACTAAATTAATATCAAAATATTACACTGAGACTTCCTAAGCAAGTTTTTCTCATTTCTGTATGTGTACAATATGTAAATCTCAGCCCACTTTTCTGATTGTGTTAGTTCAATTTATGCCCCTGTAAATTTGACAGACTTCTTCAAAAGAAGACCAGAGAGGGGAGGGGCGTTCAATTTTGAGATTACCTGGTCAAACATGTATTGCAGATTTAACTGATGTACATTAAAATTGGGAAATGCAACTTGTAGCTTTCATTAAAGTTGTACATGTTCAGGCCAGTTGAGAGAACTTGGGCTTGGCTAGGTTTTATAGAGTAGCATGTCATTTGACAGCAAACTGTGCAGAACGAGATGATTGCACTGGCATTTTTTGTAAAGACTGTTGCTTTTCTCTTATGTGCTTAGTGGAGTTTAACTGGCCCTACACATGTGCAGTGTTCTGGAACATTTAATTCTACTCTATACATTCACAGTATATTCTGAACCAAAGGCAAAAAAAGTTCTGCTTTCTGCTTTAAATTTCAGCAACACTTATTGTCCCATTTATTAATGCAAAAGAATCTTCCTATGCAATTTTTTTTTGTTTTCTGATAAGATGAATTTTCACTTCTTTGGGCATTGTCACTACATTGGGAATTTATTCAATGCTGATTTACCTCTATTATTGCCTATTTAACATTTCTGAAATGGCTTAGCAGCCATTTAATTGATGATGTGTAACATATAGAGTTGTTGAATAAATATTGAACTACTGAATAAATCCACCGATCTCTTGTGCTGCCTTCCTGTTTTCAAGCAGAATGAAAGAGTCAGGCCTCAATATTATCTCCAGTTCATAAAGACTTCAAACATGACATTAAGCCCAATATTTGCCCAAATACCTTAATAACCTGATGATACTTGAGTGCAATTAGTTTCATGGCAGTTTGTGGAATTTACAGGGTAAGGTCTTGGAAAAGAAAGAGCCTTTGGGTAAATTTCTGAGTCAGGCAGTAAGGCAATAAGGTACTGATATGCCTGGCAATAGATTATGATCTTTGGCCCAATCCTGGCCTCTCCAGCATCAATTTCCATTGCTCCACCATTAACGGTCATGCCTTCAACTTCCTGGGTCCTAAACTGTGGGACCGTCTTCCGAAAACTTTTCCCTCTCCTCCACCTTGAAGACAGTCTTTAAAACCAAGCCATTGACCACTGTTCTAATATTTCCACCTGTCTTGTCAAGAGTAACCTGAATCTCCCTCACAGCAACAATTATCAGATTGCCATTCTGTTCCGTTTAAGTTTTTGCCCACTCTGAATGCACTGCCAGCTGGGTTTTCCAAGCCTGGCTTCTTCTTCAGTCCCACAAAGAACAACAACAGGGGAAGATGGGACACCCCACCTTTTGACAGAACTGACTGTCATGAGGTGAATGCAAAAGTCCAATGTGAATGTTAGTGAATGAGTGAGTAGTTGAATGAATGAATGATTAGGGAGGCAGGGACAGTATTTGTGTGATAAGCAGATAAGTGGGCAGTTGAGTGAGGTTAGTGTTTATGATGAGTGAAGATAAGGAGATAAGTGTGCAGGTTGGTCATCGGGTGAACTAAGTGAGTAGGGTGTCATGAAGATAAGGTGGCATGTAGGTGAGGTGGACAAGGTTGGTAACTGTGTGAAATGGATGAGTAGAGAGTCAGATCAGTTCAGGGTTAGTTAGGTGATGGGGACTAGTTAGATTAGATCAGAGAGTTAGCTGGGTCAAGGGAACTGTTCAAGTTGGGACAGGGAGATCGTCAAACTAAAAGGTGGGATCGTCAATCAGGGCTGGGTGGAGTGCTATTAGGGTTAATAGTTGGATCAAGTGGGATTCAGAGAGTCAAGGTGACTGTTGAAGGTTCAGTGTGAGTGACTAAGGGTTGGGTAGATACCCAGGAGTTGCACGAGGATTTTTTTTTTGCCTGGCAATTCTTGGATAATGATTAGGATCAGCACATCTAAGCTGTCCAAGGTCTCCGAAAGAGATTTTTGCAGAAGGTCTTGGAGAACAGGAGAATTATCTGTCAGATGTTTAAATTTCCCATGGAGGGCAGTGCATCACAGCTTCTATGAGGCCCTGACATGTATCTTAGATTGTATGTCTGGTCTCTGATGATATGGGAACTGGAAGATCTGATGGACATTCTCTGAATATGCTCCTGTGAAGCTCCTGGAAATGTTTCAAGATTTTAACAAGGATACACAGGTGCAATTTGTTGCTGATTATTGGTTAAGCAGCAGTTGGTGTAGCAACAATCACATGCAAGAATCAAATTTGCTGAGGATTTCCTTCATTCCTACAGCATGTTGTATGTTCTGAAGAAGGGTCATTGGACCTGAAATGTTAACTCTGCTTTCTCACCACAGGTGCAGCCAGACCTGATGAGTTTCTCCAGCAATTGCTGTTTTTGTTTCAGATTTCCAGCATCCACAGTTCTTTGTTTTATTTTCCCATTGGACATTGACAATTTTAGTGAATTAAAGGAGGCTACCCTGTAACACAGTTCTGGATACTTTGACGGAGTCCCAAAAAGTACTGGCCATGGTCTGGAAGATTTAGGGCCATAAAAGGTCAACAGCACTTGATGGTTTCTAGAATAGCATAATAACTACACTAGCCTCAACAGGGAATGGGATTACTTAGAATTGCATCAAACCAATAAACACAGACACAGGAGCCCTCTTGTAGTACAGTGGAAGTGTCCCTACCCATGAACTGAGGGACCTGACTTTAAGTCCCACCTGCTCCAGAGGTGTGTGATAACATCTCTGAACAGATTGAGTAGAAAAATAGGCTGAATAAAAAATATACAGACATAAGCCATTTGACTTAATTGGTTTGCTTTGTTGTTAATGGTTCACATAAAAATAATTGGACATCATTGAAGAATAAATGGCTAGTTTGATCATCATCCTGTCCCCCAGCTTAATCTTTCATTCCCTCTGAAACTGATACAGAGTAGTAGCAGTACATGATGCACTGCAGTAACTCACCAAGCCTCCTTCAACACCAGCTTCCAAATCCATGATCTCCACTACTCAGCAGGCAAGCAGAAGCACAGGAATATCACAATGTGAAAGGCCCTATCCAATTCATACAGCATCTTGTTTTGGAACTATGTCATCATCGCTTCACTGTCACTAGCTCAAAATCCTGGATCTCAATCCCTAACAGAATTGTGGGTTTCCTACGCCACATGGCGTGCAACAGTTCAAGAAAACAGCAATTGGCAATTATGGATGAGCAACAAGTTCTGGCCTAGCCAGCAATGCTCACATCCAGTGAAAGAATTTTTGAAAATTCTCCCATCCTTCTTCATCTCACCAAATCAGCATATCCTTTTATTCCTTCCTTCCTTGATGTTTATCTGGCTTCTTCTTCAAGGAATCTATAGATTCACCCCACTCACACCTTGTTGGAGAAATGTCCACATTCCTCTCATTGGGTGATTTATGGCCCTGAGTTTTGGTTCCATTCACAAGTGGAAAACTTCTTAGATAACAAGGTGTAGAGCTGGATGAACACAGCAGGCCAAACAGCATCACAGGAGCAGGAAGGCTGACATTTCGGGCCTAGACCTTTCATCAGATGCTTACCTTTTACACAATTTTGAAGTTCATCACTGCATTGCTGAGTTTTGTCTTGAAAATAACATCTCATCTTGTTCAGCCTTTCCTGATAAGTGTATCCACCAAGTTCTGGTGAATATTTTTGTGAATATTTTTATTGCTCCAAATAGTAAGCATGTTATGTTTCACCAGGATTGCAATCTCAGGCCTTTGCATGTTTAATCTCCACTTCACCACCTGCTTCCAGCTTCAAACACAAGGCATTATTTGAATCAGTTAATGTGCAGTTCATGGCAGCATTACTGAATTGATGAATATGTTATTTTTGCTAACTGTGACAGCCATCTTGTCCATCAGTAGCCTGCAGCACCGGCTAGAAAATGAAACCCAATTTTTGAAGTTATCACTCTTCAAGTACAAGGCACCATTGATTGCACACACATTTTCATACATTTACCTAAAGGCAATATTGCTTCCTTTGTTATTGTAAGAGTTACTGATTTCTCAGGGCTTAATATGATTTGAGACTAGTAGCAACAAAGCTACACAAGTGAATGCTTGTTTTCTAGTGACTGTGAACAATGTGCATATTTTGAAGAAACCAAGCATTCCACATTGTAAGAGCAAGGCAGGCCACCTATTCCAAACTTGACAGATCTATGGACCCATCTAAAAGCACTAACAGCGTGGTCCACACATCAGGAATATTGTTTTAAGAGGGCACATATCTGCTCTTGTTTATTTTTTGCCTCGTACATATGCAGTCAATTTCACATAGGGTCCATAGATTTGTCAAGTTTGGAATAGGTGGCCTGCCTTGCTCTTACAATGTGGAATGCTTGGTTTCTTCAAAATATGCACATTATTCACAGTCACTAGAAAACAAGCACTCACTTGTGTAGCTTTGTTGCTACTAGCCTCAAATCATATTAAGCCCTGAGAAATCAGTAACTCTTACAATAACAAAGGAAGCAATATTGCCTTTAAGTAAATGCATGAAAATGTGTGTGCAATCAATGGTGCCTTGTACTTGAAGAGTGATAACTT